ACCACAATTGAATACTGATCCACATGAGAGCAACCCTGTACCCCTGCTTTTAAATGTGGGCCTTCAAAGCAGAAAATGAACCAACAGCTAAACAGATCCACTGGAAAGATTTTTGCCATAATTGGCCAAATTTCATTTGACATGCTTTCCTCTGTTGTGAGTGATGAATTATGCAGTGGTAGAAGTGAATGGCCTAATGAAAGTGTTGGTTGCAGAGCAGACTAGTACAATATTTATATTTTATGTTGCACTTCATAGTGATGAGCAGAAAATTGCTCTCAAAGGACGCTCACAAAATGTCATCAAATGAAACCTTAATAACTGGATAACAATCAACCTGGACTTTTGGCCTATTGCAGTATGAGGGTCAGCTGTTTGAGCCCTGTACTATACTTATTACTAACTCATTAGCCTTCAAAACAAGATGTCAGCCATTTCATTGTGTAACCTACAGCAAATAGCCCTGATTTCAGCAGTGAGGTTTTCCCCTCCTTTCCCAGACAGAATTAATGAGACAAGAATAGCGAACAGAGATAGAGAACTGGCAGGAGATCTGCACCTGTCTATTTTATAAATATAATTGCTGTGAACACTTCCTGCATCCAGTTCATAATTAGTCATCACTCTCCTACTATAATATTAAACCTTCTGCACCAGCCAAACTGACTTCACCCCATTTATCCTGATAGACACTTCTGAAAGGTCTTCAAAGGTGAAAATCCTCATTAACAGACAGTGACAGGCAAACACTTTGAAAAACCACAGGTTCAATTGCCCAAATCATGTCCCTCTGTCTTGTTCAGAATGAGGCTTAAGTTAAAAAGTAGGATTATGTGCTACAGAGATAAAATGGAAATCACAAATCTGCCAGATGGCAAAGTCTCATCAAAACACTGTTTATGTCACAAACAAAAACAAACTGAGCAGATATCGTACTCTGGGTGGCTGTAGAATTTACTAGAAAAAACGTCATGGACATAAAATGTCCAATGGCTTGACTCCCCACATAGCAGGCTGCACAGAGCCTACACAGCATACAGAATGGTGTATGTGTTCTTTAAAAACAGCATATTATCATCAGCAGAGAACCTTACTCTGTATCCTTTCACAGAAGTGCAGTTCAAAAAGAGATAAATCTCCCAGCTCCTAGCTCTCAGCCCAGGGTACAAAGTAACAGACAGATTAATCTAAAGTAGAAAGTGTCCGTTACTCTGATGTGTGGATTATTGTTTCAGCTCTTGCAGAACCAAAGCACCACAGTAGCTGGATGCCGTTCAGGGTTCTCTGATTTATCGCCAAGTTCAGCAGTTGAGACCAGAGCCAAAAGCCACTGGCTTAAAAACTTGAATGTATTAGGACTAATGGGTGGGTTCTATTGACCCGTTCCTCACTTGTCAATGAGCCACAGCAGAGAAGAGGGAGGATACAATAATACTGAGTGTGTGTGTGTGTGTGTGTGTGTGTGTGTGTGTGTGTGTGTGTGTGTGTGTGTGTGTGTGTGTGTGTGTGTGTGTGTGTGTGTGTGTGTGTGAGATTGGTATTTGTTCTGACAAAAACAAAAAAGCAAATGAATAATAGTCAAGTTAAACAGAGGCAGCAGTGAAACTGAAGTTTTTAACTGTAGCAACTTAACAATGTGTAGACAGATTTGTTTTTTACTGCTCGCAGTCCTGTCGAACCCTGAAATAAAAGAGTCACAACATACTGACTTTAGTTACACATGTCTACCTGTGAACTGAATTAACAAGCTATAGTTAGCAAATTTACACCTCCACGTGATCTCACTGTTAGTGGGGGAGCAAGTACTGGGCAGTTGACACATAGTTCACCAAAATAAAAAGGCGCATTGGCATTGGGCCATCTGCAAACAACCCAGAAACTCAAAAGAGACTGCTCAGTCTGAGGAAAGCAGTAAACCATGACTGATTCAATTAACATCTGCACTGACCGTCACTCATTCAAAACTCATGCTACTATAAAATAATCAAATCGTGTGATGTCCACACAATGACAGCAACAACCTGCGCTCCATCCTCCCCAACACATACCATCAGAGGACAGCCTACGTCAGCACAATCTGCTCACTGATGCTCACACTGTGTAACCTGATGGTAACAGCTAAGCCACGCAGCCAGCATGTGAATGGGCCAGATCCTTTCGCAGGCTCAAAAAAGACTTGAGTCACAGAAACGAATGAATGATCCAGTCACTATTTTGTAAGTCTGAAAACAAGAGGAGGGGGTTGGTTTTTTTGGTTTGGTTTCAGTTTGTTTATGTTCATTTGAAATGCAAAAATATAACCCTAAACCCTAATGAATCGGTGATAAAGTAATGATAACCTATCGTAAAAAACAAGACACAGACTTATCCAGCTGTCATCAGGCTAATGGTTCTGGACAGTTTTCCGAGGCTTTTTCAGAGGCATCCTCACATAAAGCCTCAAAATGTTCCAAGTACTGTCCAAGACAGTTATCACATAAACCTGTCAACCAATCTCTCTGTCAAAACAATGAGTCGCAACGATATTAACAGGCATGGTTTTACAAAGGCCAAGTACAGTACTCTAAGAGGTATCACTACTGACTGACAAACTGATCGTGGGCCTTGAATTGACCATACTTGTTTATCACTGCATGCAGCCAGTTTTATGACACTCACAGTTGTGACCGCATGACTTGAATTCTAAATGCTCCTGCTAAGTAAAACAACAAAGGGAAACCTCCTGGGCCAGTTCCAGTAAACAGGCTGGGAAAATGTGTCTTACTTAAACAGTCCACACAAGGCAGCCTTGGGCAGCGTTGGTCACATTTAGGTTTCTTATCTACATGTCATCCACAAAGTCTGTACCAGCTTTCATTAAAACTAAACGCAATGAGCAGGCAGTACAGTCCGCCATATGCTAGTATTTTCTGTAGGCACACAACAAGAGGAACTACATATAACATTTTTTATACTGACAACATGAAATTAATTTTTAATTTTCAAACAAAGGAGAGATGCTGTTTTTTTCTTGCTTAGCTGCAATCTACAGCATGCTCAGTTCAAGCAGCTGAACAGTTTGTTTATGGTGGCTGTCACTTAAATACAGGTGACTGAAAGATTCATATGTGGCTCACCTGCATCTTAGCAGACAAACAAATAAAACCACAGGTCCTCTTTGCCGAGCAGTGGTGCATCAGCTAATACATGGCTGCTTTAAATTGTCCTATTAAGTTTGTCAGATATTCAAAAAGCTTCTGATTACTATTAAAATGACTGAGGCAGATTTTAAATCCAAGTAATCACACAATATTACATTAGGTTCAAATGTATGAGTCAGCTGAGCTAATAAATAATAAACACATTATATCATTTATATTTATCATTCATGGTAAAAGATAATGTGTGAAAAAAAAAGACACGTATATCTCCTTAATCACAGTACATTCAACACTCTCTTAATCCTCAGTTAAACTGTGTGTACACCAGGTTTATCTTGTATCTCACACACAGTACAGTCAGTGAGTCTAATTTGTAGAAGACAGAGCGGCCGACTTCAGACTAGACAAAGCTGTTAATTAATCCGCAGCTTCTAAGGACACAACAACTGAATTTACATGTCTTAAAACTTTAAACTCATTAAAATGCCAATAATGCATGACACCAATGGTTTTTCACTTGCAAAAATGCAGTCTGCTCGCTTTGCAGGAGACAACATGATTAGTTTGTAACCGCCAGATACACAGGGATCAACCAATGTCATCCGCAAGTCTGCCTTGCACTGAGAAGCTCTGATAAAATACTGGAATATAAAATTACTGCCTTTCAGTCGGACCATCTGGCAACCTGCCACATGAAGCTCCTCAAATTCATGAGGAAGTCAAAGAAGGAGAGCAGATTGAGTGAGTATAATAAGACATAATATCCTAAATTCATAGCCTGTGTATTGCAATGACTTCAATCATACACAGGCATTCTTGTATTTGTCGCAGAGAAATCCATCCGCAAAATATCTATACCAGCTGTATGAGAGGAGTATTTCATTAAGACATGCAAAATAACAAAATATCTCAGCTCATATCCTTGGATTTAAAACATTCTGAGGACACATGATGAATCAGGGCTAACTGAATGACAGCGCTTGTGATCTCTTTTGATTAGTCGCATGCATCAAGCTGCCAAGGAGGAGAGAGAGGAAAATGAGAAATATACTGTATTTCAAAGACTATACAACATAGCCAACTACTAATGTAATTCATGTAGATCCCAGTTTTCAAACAGAGAGGGGCACAAACTGAACAAACCAAAGTCGTTTCGTGGACATGGAGCATATATATCACATTTTCTCCTGCCCACATAGCACATCAAATGATCATACTGCAGATACGATGTTCAAACAAAATGAATGGAAGACGACTTTAAATAAGAAAGTCTTTTAAAATTCCTACGTTAAATTCCTAATACTGTACATTGGCATGTACCTCAGAAATATTTCCCAGTGTCTACTTAATGACAAGTGTCATTGTAAACTGTGAGCAGACCATATAAACCCAAACAGTAAGGATAACTGTCACAAAAAGAGAACACATTATTCTTTGGCTCAACTCCTCAAGTAGGCTCAGCTTTGAGCGGGGTAAGTCTGAATAAATAAAAACAGCTCGCAAGAAGACAGCAACCACACTTTGCCCATGTCTGTCTCATATTTGCACAATGTTCCTGTGTAATCATTAACTTTTGCAATAGGCTTCTACAGCACAGAAATAGGGAGTAAAGGTTCCAAGTTTATAGCCATGTAATATTTACTTCTAAAACACAGCATGTTCTGAGAAGTAGCAAGCATTTGATAGAGTTTTTGTACCATTTGAGGTGAATAAGAAGGAAATAAATAAATTCCTGTTTATAATTAAGGCCTCATGGTGAGGTACAGGTGCTTTGAATTCGTATCGCATGTTTAGATATTGTATGTGGGTTCTGACATTATAATGGGTGTGTGTCTTGTGGAGGGAGGGAGTTTAACTCACTTGATAAAGCACCTTGCCCCCTCGAAAGTATATCCTTCTTCCCATCCAGTGGGTAGGTCTGTGAAAGAACAAGAGGTGGAAAAAAACATGTGAACACAAACTGGCAGAACAAACAGATGTTGTGTGTGTTAAATTAACTTTCGGCTACCTTCTCAGCTGTCAGTTCACACACTAAGATGCAGGATGCAATTAGTTGATCAAAAGAACATTAATTGGCAACTGTTTTGAAACTCTGTTATAATTTCAGTAATTTCTTGCTGCTTTTTACACTTAATAGTAGAGGATATAACAGCATAATTGTAGTAGTAGACATATCTCTGGGTTTTGGACGGTTGGTTTGACAAATTAGGCAATTTATACATTCCACTTTTAGGACTGCAACTAACCATTATTTTAATTATCGGTTAATCTGTCAACTATTTTCCAGGTTAGGTGGTTGTTTGGTCTATAAAATGTCTGAAAAGATACACATCACACTTTCCAAAAGCTCAGTGTTAGGTCTTCAAATTGCTTGTTTAGTTTGAGCAGCAGTTTAAAACCCCAAACTATTCAATTGAGTATTTTATATATATATATGACAAATGAAAACCAATAAATCCTCACAATTCAGAAGCTTTAACTAAAGAATATTTGGCATTTTCGCTTGAAAATAAACAATTATTAAAATGGTTGCTGATGATGGGCACAATTTTTCACAATCTTTTGACATTTCATAGGCTAAAAATAAATGATTAATCGAAAAGATAATCTGCAGATTAATCAATGAGCAAAATTCTAATAGTTGCAGTCCTACTGAGATGCAGAGGCTATTAGTAAGAGAGGTGGGAATGACTTCAGGTCAGCAGGAAGCTGCTAGTGTGTAGTCGCACGGTAACGTCACACGATGAAAGAAGCTAATTTTACCATGTTGCACACAGTGTTTAAGGCTGTTTGGGAGATTTTTGCAGGGGTGGGTTAGACAAAGCTAATTTTGTAGATTTATAGTTGACCTTTACTAGCTCCTCTGTCTATAGCAGCTGTTGCTGTATCTACCTGTCGACTTGGGAGATCACTGATGAGCGAGCTCTGGTTCTGTTAACCCAACATCAGGTGCACAAATCTGTCCAGTTATGTGGTCGACAGAAGTCGTTAGTTTATTCAAAGTGACACAAAATGCCTCCCAAATTAATTTGCATGCTGCTGGTTGTAAGTAAGAGTCAGTCAGCCAACATCCACTCTGCGACTTCATTGACCGACCAACCTGAAGAAGAGGCTCACGAGTCGGGCAGAGGTGGGCACGAGAGGGCTCACTTTTCACAGCACGAGCGCCAAAAGCCCACTCATGCATTAAGAAACACAGCATGGATGTCACAGTCTCTCTCTCACACACACAGTGTGGGAAGTATCGGTTTCGGTATATGGGCAACAACAACACATGACGACAGACATGGGAGACGTTAAAGACAACGAAGAAACTTGACAGCCGTTCAATGACACCTTACCTGGAGTTTTTCTGTGCCCGGTTATTACCGCCTCGCCACTCACTGGATGCAGCCAGGTTGTACTCTTGGCTTCTTCGCTGTTGAGAGAAGGAAACGCATTCATTACTACACGGCGACTTTGCTCGAAACAGAGACGGACAGAAACGACTTGAGCTGTTTTCTTTGAAGGGATATTTACTTAACGAAGAAGACGCGTCCATCCCGAGTAACCCCATAACTCCACGAAGAAGGGAGACAAGAAATCCACTCGGGTTGTAGATCCGCCGCCATGTCTGCCAATACTGTATGACAATCGCGCGGCTCCGCTCGCGCAGGCAGCGCGTACACGGAAACCTTGGCAACGACGGATGGCTGAGAGGAGGGCAGGAGCCCAGGGGGTAGGGTAGGCAGGTACAGTCAATACATGGTGTCTGATTTGATTGACTCACAAACATAACAAGTGTTTCATTTATAAAAAGAATGTTACATGAATACCCTAAAAACTTGTTTTTCTTTGTTGTTTAATTGGCTGTGTGGCTTTGTATGGTTGTGGCTGTTTTATTATGTTATTGTTCCCTTTTGCATTGCTGTGGATGTATATTGTTCCAAAGAAAGACACCTCTCAGCATTATGAACAACCATGGGGGCAGGGCCAGATTAACCTGCAGGGGGCCCAAGGGCAAAATTGATCTGCTGGGCCCCTATAAGCCTTCTTCACAGCAGATATATGAATACACATCAAATTTAGTATAAAGCTCTCTTAAGACACAACAATGTAACAGTGAGCTAGTGTGCACAACACCAGGACCCTGAAACCAAAGAAGCTACATCGAATTCAGCCATAACATTTTATTACTTACACATGTGCTAGTCCTACTGTGAGATTTCAAAATGTCTTCCATGAAAAAGACCCCATTTGTCGCTCTCTCTGTGAAGTGTGTACTGTTTTTCCCTAAAATACCGTCTGGCTCCAGATTTGATGTGTTGTAATTTAATTAAACACATTAATTTAGGACTATGGAACATGCATGGCTGGATTACTCACTGGACAAAGCAGGTAATTGACCTGGTGCCCCAGAATGCAAGGTCCTCAAAAGTTTAGTATTCCCTGCATGTCAGTTGGCTTTGGTAGTTTGATTAATTGCAAATTTTGACCTTAATCGCTCGCAATGATTGACCACCAGAGGTGAGAAAGGCATCAGAGTTTGAACTTTCTCTAGCTCTGTTTTGTCATTCTTGACACGGCTATTTCTGTCACATTTCACTTTTCATATTGAACAGCCAAGTGCAATGGAGAGATTGTCTTTATCCCCATTTTTAAATTATATTGCATCTTCCTCATCATGTCCGATGTGGTCAGACAACATGTCTCTGAACTAGTTCTGATCACGCACAACTCAACTCTTGATCCAGCCATGCCAACATGCATGATATTGGTGGCCCAGCTGTTTGAGAGGCTGACCAAGTAAAAGCAATGTCCCAAATTCAAGTTTGGCCAAACACCTTTGTTGCATGTTATCCCTCTTTTCTTTCTGCCCTCATTTCCTCTCTCTTCTGTCAACTGTCAAATAAAGTCATATGCCCAAAGATTTTAAGACAGTGCCTCTCAGTAATAGCAGCCACCACCTTGAGACCTTTATCATATCATATAGTGTTGTACTTTAGTACAACATATTCCAAAACAAATTATCAATTAAATTAATGCAAACCAGATGACACACAGTAGGCCTGGAGCTTTTGTGGCCCCTGGAGTTCCGGGGCCCAGTTACCCTCTCTGCTGACGCAGTAATCCAGCCTTGCATGGAGGGACAGACAGGCAGACACACACACAGTCTACTAGCGCACCCACACTTTCAACTCTACCTTTAGGTTCTTGGTGTCCGCCTTCTGTCATTGTGCTGTGAAACTGCAGCATCAGCCTTTCACACCATACAAAGACAAGTCATCCAACACCGCTGTGCCTGGCCTGTTTGTTGGCATTGTGTTGCATTGTGTTCTGGACACATGGTATGCCACGGTTTTTGAGGGGGCTGGTGGTGGTGGTGGAAAGGGGACATATCTGCCAACTGCCAGGTCATTCACTTTGGAGAATAAGTCTAAAGGAAGGAGAAACAGGCTGTGATGCCTACCCTGGTCAGATGTCAAACACTGAGCCCTTTGTATTCTACTTACCTGGGGCGGAATAACAGCTTTCTAGTAATGTTGCATAGAAAAGAGCTGCTTGTTTTTCCCCATGTAGTTAAGGCAATGGTCTGTGAGAGGAAGGAACGTAACAACATTCAGCAAAGCTGAGTTTCAATCAAAAATTAACTTCATATTGATTTGAGATGGGTTGCAGAGGCCCTGTTGCATAATGCATGGCTAAATACAATCCACCCACTAACCTTCCAATTGAATCTGTATATAGTTTTTCAAAAATCAGATTTTTTTGAACAGTTTACGCATCTTTTTAACAATCTTTTAAGGAAATATGTACAATACCTTACTTGCCCAAGCCCCACCTTTTTCTATCACTATTTAATCCCTTTCATAATATCCATGAAAAAGAACCATTAGGGTGGAAAGGATTGGATTAGAGCCTGATACCTACCTGTTTGTGCTGGTATACCTGTGGGACTGAGTGTCTGAAAGCCAGGATTTTCTGCTTCTCATTTTTCCAACAGGCAACTCAGCCCTATTTCTTACCATTCATAGAATTCAGAAAAGTAAAGTGAAACACACACACACACACACACACACACACACACACACACACACACACACACACACACACACACACACTATGTCCTATTCATGGCTCTTAAAATTTTAGGCTAGCCTGATATCTAGCACACAAAGCTTGGGATCAATAGGCATATTAATCAAAAGTTTTCTCCAGTGTACTATAAAACATTTTTCTAGAGAAACTCATTTGAATTCAGTTTGCCCTGACTGGACTTTTTCCACAGGACCCTGAGTTACAGGGTTGAGTGAGAACTTCACAGCTGCCCTAGTCAATATGCACATTTGCGTGGACTTCTGTTTCCAGGGTCTAACAGTACTGACATAACAGAAAGTCTAGCACCATGGATCAGTTCATGTATTTCTTCTTTTAGCTGGAACAGACATTTGTCAACTGCAGCCCACAGTTGCCAGGGTGAACGATATATGCTTCACTATAGTATATCATCAGCACTCAAGCAAACCAATACCATTTAGTGAAAGTGGGCGCCTCTAAATCAGAGTGACAAAGTATGTTTGTCTTTCTGCAAAAGTTAGAGCTAGTACAGGACAAGCTGTGTATAACCCTTTTAGTTGAGTAATAGAAAATGTAAATAAATTGAGAACAAGTCAAACAGATCTGGAGCCTTTAAGTCCTTCACCCATGCAGATTTGTTCTAGTTGTTTATTCAATTTTTCAGTACCTGATTTCTCTGGAATCTACAAAATCTACACTATACTGAACTGAGGCACTGTTCATAATGTTATGCAAATATAAAAGTGACTCAGAATGGTCTTTTAAGGAACTGAAATCTTTTAATATTCTCTGTTTCTTGTAAGTACAAGGCCACTTCCTTGTTGTAGACAGAATAAAAGAAACACAATTAGCTGAACAACACAATGCAACCAGCCACTCAAAGACTCAATTCAACTCACAAAATATTAATTCATCTCCTGAAGGGGACCCAGGGTCTGAATATGTAAAAGTGCAAGAGAGAGTCTGGTTAACATTGTTCAACGTATTCTTACATAATTGCTCCACGCTCAGCAAGGTGAGGGTTCTCTGCTCAGCAACACAGGCAAGACTTGAGGCATCAGAATGTAATTAATGGATGCACATTATGAAGCAGCTGTTGGAGGGCTTCATTCTGGTGCCAGCTCAGCAGTAGCCCCATGCCGGTCTGTGCTAGGTAAGAGGGAGGACTCTCCTCTTTAGACTGGAGCCACTTGGCATCTGTGCAGACCTCTCATTTGCTGGCATCAAAAGCCTGCACAGATAGAGCCATCTTTCAGCCTGCACACTGTGCTTTGAAATTAGTGGATTGTAAATGAAGGAATTTAATTATATTGCCAGCTAACAACTACTGGGGGGAAATTGGTTATTATGTGATTAAATAAAAATAACAGATAGAGCCTCAGGCAGGACAATATTGAGTCCACATAAAGAGTACAGTATAACTGGAAAAAAATCAAATTACAGGGCACAATAACTTCCTATGGGGCTGCATGTTTATCCCATCCCTTACACATTGCTCAATGATGTGAATATGATGTCATCTGTGCCTCTCCGATTGCAACACACAGTATCATTTGATTGGCATGCACAACCCGCAAACCAGTACAGCTATTAGGGCCAGTCAAGTCAGCAGTGAGGGTAAAAGGCAACATTGGAAAAATGGTATAATACTTAAATCAGTTGTAGCTGCAGTTGTCTGCAGTACTAGCAATACAGATGATAGGAATTTGGATCACTAGGCTTTGAAAACTTGTGGAAAAAAGACCCTGAAAGGAGGTGTAGTCCTCACAACTCACCTCTGAATCATTAAACACACATTCCTGAATCACTGCTAGTCACAGCCTGACAAAACCCAACCCACAAATGACTCTCTGTTCACCACAGTCATGACCTCACTGGATCCAAAGCCTTTTTCTGGGTGCAGTCCAAATGTTTTTCTTTCCAAGTTTTATGAGATTTCCACTAGTGATATGTGTCATTAAGACTGAATGAGTGGGTACTCTATTTTGTAATTAGAGGATGCTGTAAGTGGCCTGAGTCAGTTGTGACTGTAGTGATTGTGAGAGGAAATGCATTGCATCTCATTGCAAAAAAAAGAAGTTATTTTTCCCAGAATGACTGGGTTTTATTTTGCAATGTAAATTAAAAACAGAGCTGGACAAGTGTTCAGTGTGATAGTTTATTAGTGCTCACGTACTGAAAAGGTTGACTGTGTTACTTTCTGCAGAGCCCCAGACTGAGGTTATGAGTCCTAGCCATACTGTAAGACCAACAGCAGAACCAGGCAGGAATGAAGTATCATATATCTGTGTTCAACCTCTCAAGATTAATGAGACTGTTAAATATCTAAACTAATATAATCATGGTAACCTTACCTACATGTTGTCTTTAGGCATTATTGGTTTAGACAAGGACCTTTGTGTATACATAATGAAATTAACATGCCTCCCTCCAGCTCTCTGTGCATCATAAACTGCTTTATTAATTGATATCTGTACTTAGGAAGCACTACAAAAGGCTACTGTAAATGCACAGCACTTTAAATCATAGTGGTTCTCTATTGATTGCAGCTGCCATCATTGCTCAAAAGACCCCGCTGTGGTGTTTAAGTAATAGAGTAGATTATTAATGAAGATGAAGGACTACTTAACATTGATCCGGGTCAAGCTCCACTTTGATATAATGCATAAATAACCCGAAAGGGGTGTGATTCTCCTATATACACT